CATTTTTGGGCCATTGTCACTTACCATTACCATTATATTCAATAAATAAATTTTTCTGTGAAACTAAAATATTCGACGAGGCCATTGTTAAAAATTGAGTATTAACCAACATTCTCTTAAGATGTTCGTGATCTCATCGCTTTTGAAAATGAATTCATCAGCTCTCATTGTAACTTGACATTCAACTTCAATGCATGCCACCTTATGGATTACCAAAAAAATACATTCACATCCCTAGAGAAATATGCCTTCAATTAATCAGAAATTCTCTCAATTTGCGATAGACTTACCTCCACGTGGTGCACCCTGAGCAACGTATATTCATACAGCAAATAAGTCCATTAACCGGTAGTTGACTTCTGACTTCAAACTACCCCCACTGTATGCCATATTCAACCCATTTCACAGTACTCATCTTACCTTTTCTCTGCCTTTGTGTCTGTCTGTCTCTTTCATATCTGTGGATCACTCTTCTGTCACCTCTCTCGATTTTTTCTCACTTTGATGTTCCTCCTCCTCCTCTCGACTTTTTCTCACTTTGATGTTCCTCCTCCTCTCACTGTTCCCCATCCCTCGACTTTCTGTTACTTGGATGTTCCGTCTACGAAGCCCGAAGTCAGCTAAAGGGCTAATGATAACTATCAAGACACCTGCCAGTTGAAATAAACAATTAAAAGCAATGCAAGTGATGACTCGAGGAGTGTGAATTTTGAAATCTGAATTGCTCGTTAGCCAACTATAGTGCAACCGGAATCCACTCACTCGACTTGCTTTGGACATCTTTTAGTGTTCTCTCCCTAACATCTATTCAAATTGCTGTCGATCGAAACTAACTGCATTCTCACATAGCATAAAATTTTGTATAGGAGAGAAAGGTAGTCAAAACGATGTCAGAGTTGCTAAATGCACAACTTTCGGAAATTAATTTGTCATCTGGTTGGCCTCATGTGGCCCGGTTTTCACAATCAAGTATTCATTTCCTCAGAATGAATACTTTTGTCAACGTGATTAATGAAGAACTCTCATGAGTTAATAGCATTAAATTTTTTCTAGTTCATTCTCTGTTTTGAATGTGCTTGCACAAGAAGTTTCGACCCCTGGAGTTTTGACTTGACACCTGTACTCACTACAACTACACTACACCACTGATATGCTCAAATAAGCTGCCTGCTAGTTGGAAAACAGGATGCTGGCATTTAAATGGAACAGGATCGACATCTGAGCTTGAACTTCCAGTGCTATCTTGTTGATGTATTGGATAGTTCAATAGCGAACTCAACCGACAAAACACAATAGTTTTTTCTGAGATGTGTTGACTGNTCGTGATCTCATCGCTTTTGAAAATGAATTCATCAGCTCTCATTGTAACTTGACATTCAACTTCAATGCATGCCACCTTATGGATTACCAAAAAAATACATTCACATCCCTAGAGAAATATGCCTTCAATTAATCAGAAATTCTCTCAATTTGCGATAGACTTACCTCCACGTGGTGCACCCTGAGCAACGTATACTCATATGGCAAAAAAGTCTATTAACCGGCAATTGACTTCTCACTTCAAACTACCACGACCCCCCCCTGGTTGTCATATTCGACCCCTTCCACAGTACTCACCTCACCTTTTTCTCTACCTTTGTGTCTGTCTGCCTCTTTTACATCTGTGAAACGCTCTTCTGTTCTCTACCCCTCGACTTTCTGCTACTTTGATGAACCTTCCCTCTGTGAAGCCCGAAGTCAGCTAAATGGCTAATGATATCTATCAGAGCGCTTGCCATTTGAAATAAATACTTAAAATTTTCTTTAAGTAGTCAGAATGCTTCTGCCAGAAATACAGTTGCCAAATTGCCGCTAATTATCAAAAAAATTCCAAGTGGTTAAAAATTTTACTGCCATATATTCTTCTTGGTAATTTTACTAATTTCGGTTATACTTTTTAGTCCCACCTTATAAACACAGAAAAAATTGCAAAATGAGATTTAGCCGATTGTAAATCAAGCATTATTTCGACAAGTTACGAATTTAGTAACGTCTGAGTTTTCCCAAAATACACGTACACACACACACACACTAATAAAGTGGCTTAGCTTTAGAAATTATTACTTAAGTGTTTCTCTTCTTCTCCATGGACATTTCCTTAATGATGTGTGAAGAGCTACGTTCTATTTGCAATCCTTTTTTTCATAGTCTTTTTGGCTTGTTTGTGGAGGAAGTGTTTAAGGCAATTGCAAGAACTACTGCTTGCAAATGTGATTACCGCGAATTATGTTTGTTAGAGCCACACCAGTCAACACTCCCTATAGCACAACGCTAAAAGCACGTCGAAGTATGGAAAGAAATAGCATAAAGTGACAGAAAATAGGTACATGTTCTGTTTCAGTGAGATTTAAGTTAAATTACATGAAGAATGTCATAGAAATGTTTATTAAAGTACAGTTACTGCTAAATATTTATTTATTTATATCAAATGGCAGACGATTTGCTAGTTATCATTAGCCCTTTAGTTGACTTCAGGCTTCACAGAGAGAAAGGAACCTCAAAGTGAAAACAAAGTCGAGAAGGGGGGGGGGAGGNACTATAGTGCAACCGGAATCCACTCACTCGACTTGCTTTGGACATCTTTTAGTGTTCTCTCCCTAACATCTATTCAAATTGCTGTCGATCGAAACTAACTGCATTCTCACATAGCATAAAATTTTGTATAGGAGAGAAAGGTAGTCAAAACGATGTCAGAGTTGCTAAATGCACAACTTTCGGAAATTAATTTGTCATCTGGTTGGCCTCATGTGGCCCGGTTTTCACAATCAAGTATTCATTTCCTCAGAATGAATACTTTTGTCAACGTGATTAATGAAGAACTCTCATGAGTTAATAGCATTAAATTTTTTCTAGTTCATTCTCTGTTTTGAATGTGCTTGCACAAGAAGTTTCGACCCCTGGAGTTTTGACTTGACACCTGTACTCACTACAACTACACTACACCACTGATATGCTCAAATAAGCTGCCTGCTAGTTGGAAAACAGGATGCTGGCATTTAAATGGAACAGGATCGACATCTGAGCTTGAACTTCCAGTGCTATCTTGTTGATGTATTGGATAGTTCAATAGCGAACTCAACCGACAAAACACAATAGTTTTTTCTGAGATGTGTTGACTGTCTTGAAACATTTATTTTATATCAAATGGCAGGCTTTATGATAGTTATCATTAGCCCTTTAGTTGACTTCAGGCTTCACAGAGGGAGAGGAACATCAAATCGAAAAAAGTCGAGTTGGGGGGGGGGAACAGAAGAGTGTTTCAAAGACGAAGGTAGAAAAGAGGTGAGGTGAGTACTGTCGAAGTAGTCGAATATGACATACAGTGGGGTCATGATAACTTGAAGTCAGAAGTCAACTGCCAGTTAATAGACTTTTTGCCGCATGAGTATACGTTGCCCAGGGTGCACCACGTGGAGGTAAGTCTATCGCACACCCGTCTTGAAGCATTAGTTTTCAACTTGAAGATACCTCCTCAAGTAATGGTCTTTCATTGTAATAAATTCGAAGTTTAATTAAGATGAAAGCAAGAAGCTAAGTGGAATATACGTGTAATCATTTCATTTCGAGTAGACTACTGGTCTTATTCCCGAATCACCCTTTTATTCGTATGTCTGCAAATTAATTGCCACACACTGGTGAACAATACCACTTCTCTTTTGGGCCAAATTGCCATCTTCACTTTGCTATTCTTCTGCATCAACAAAGTCGTGTGTGAGGCATTATTGTAACTTTTCAAAAAGAAACCAGCCTACTTTCCCACCTTTAATCATTTATATTTCTCACCCACTGAGAACGGTATCTTGGTAACGTGAAATTGTGGAAATAACTGACACCTTAGAATAAAGCCTTATCGAAGGTGATACATTAGCTACGTTGGCATTGATAGAGTCGGGCTGTATATCAACCATACCTGGTGGAATGAACATAAATTTCCCCATTTATGAGCCTTGAAGAGGAGTGGATGATTGGCTGCTGCATAACCAATAAAAGCAAGATTCGGGATAAAGCAATAAACCGTAAATAGGCTAAATTTCACTTTGAATTAATTCACTTGAAATTCAGTGATCGAGTTTCCTATCTAGTGTGCGAAGTTCAAAGGAGTTCACTTGTATATATATATATTTATTTAAATAAAATAATGAGATTTTTAAGTTGGTAAAAATATTTTATTTCGTTAATGTCATCTTTACTCGACAAATGATATAGTTGTGAACGACTGATTTCGAGGTTCTTGTAAGTGGCTTTTAAGTGTTTAATGGTAAATCATTCACAATTTTTCCTTCTTCTGTAAGCAGTATTATTTATTCTTCAAATTTCGATATTTTATTCGACTGAACATTAATAGCTAAATATCTCTGGTAGTGTTCTGTAGCAGGATTTTTATTGGTCATTGGCTGTGCTTCTCCGCAACCAATCCGTATGGGAGGTTGCACGGCCGCACCTTAAGCCTAGTGTGCGCGCCCGTGTTGAAGTGTCCCACAAGCGGACTAATTAAAAAGTCGCATCTGTACTACCAAGGATGCTAAAGGATCTGCTTCTACTGAAATGGTACATCTGCCCACTTGATACCGCCAATCCACAGTTGACGTAAACCCGAAGGAAGATAGGATACTATTTATGGTAGAATATTTATTTATGACAAATAATTATAATGGCCGTATCGATGTTTTGGGGATGTCATTCCACTTCGCTGTTTTGGAAATCGGACTAGCATAATTAAGCCGAAATTACCCTTGGCATAAATTCTTCATTTAATAAAAGTGCATATATTGTGCGATTTTGTATCGTTATCTTCATATCAATACTTAAATAAGAGCACAGTTTTTAGTTTAAGCAAATCTTAATATTTACTCTCTCCTTAAAACCCACTGCAAATTGACTTTAATCCGTTCCTGTCAAAATTCAACGTAATTCCTGAGGTACGTATGGATCAGTCTTGAGGTCTGGGGTTGCATGTACGAATGGATCCAAGTTATTGAAGTGTGTGCTTTCTGGAAGCAGTCTGTGTATAAGGTTTTTAACGTTCTGTAGGATGGGACGTTAATGAAAGATCTGAAACAGAGGACGTCCTGCAACCGGATTGCTTGATTTCGCTTACAGCACCGAAACTTTGTGCTTTGCGTTTCACCGGCCGCTATCACTTTTTGGGTTCGTTATTCTTCATTCAGAATTAGTTCTACTGTTATTAAATTAGTAAACCGTATTTTATTTTAAGGCGGTCGTTTTGTGCCTCCAATACTGGCGAATAAGTACAATCTGTGTCTGCCCCAGTATCCTGGGGCTTCTCCGGTAGTTCTCTTGAAGGGACCCACCTCAAGCGATTCGTCAACGCATAGCAAGTAGATGTGCCCTTTCGTGGAATCAAATTCTTAGTCATTCGCATTGTTATTACCCCTTCAGCGATTTCGAAGTTAATAAAATCCCATCACTTAAATCCTCTTTCAATTATATGCACACGTGACTATTGCTCGTTATTGTCTGCGCGGTATAATCTGTTTAGATAAATCAGCGTTCCGATTGGTTATAAAATTTCTGTCCCGAGTGAACATATTTCAAGGCTGACAAGTGTGCCTCGCTTGGAAGGTTTAAACATTTTGATTCGAAAATATGCCAGTTCAAGATTTATTTATTGTTCAAGTTATAAACACAATTGCACAGAACTCCAAGGCAGGAGAATGATCATTAGAATTTATTAATCATAGTTATATATTTATTTATATCAAATGGCAGGCGTTTTGATAGTTATCATTAGCCCCGTAGCTGACTTCGGGGCTTCACAGAGAGGAGAAGAAACATCAAAGTGGCAAAATGTCGAGATGAAAGACAGAATAATGATTCACAGAGGTAAAAGAGACAGACAGACAGACACAAAGGAGGATGAAAGGTGAGGTGAGTACTGTGGAAGTAGTCGAATATGGCAGAGTGGGGTGATGGTAGTTTGAAGTGAGAAGTCAACTGCCGGTTAATAGACATTTTTGCCGTATGAATATACGTTGCCCAGGGTGCACCACGTGGAGGTAAGTCTATTGCGCACCCCATTGTAGTAATATATAAAGGATGCATTTATGTAGCAGTATAGCACATTTTAGCCCATGAAACGGCAGAAGGTTTGAAGATTAGGGCGTGGTTATGGTGGAACAATGGATTCAAAAACCCCCGTATCTAGAGTTATGACGGACCCATTCACCTTCACAAATGATTTGAATATCAATGCATGAAGTGAACAACTAGCTAGAATTTGCATTATTAACGGTTTCAACAAGTTTCCTATAAAATCACTTTTGGATGTAATTTTAGCAATAGATTATAAAATAAATTGTTGCAATCTTACGAAATATGCTTATAAATGACCATGAAAAACGTGGCAACTTCGCAAATGTCACTTCCTATAAGAGATAAATCTCAAGTAGTCAATTGTCATATGTAGACCTAGGAAACAATATGATAAACAATTTTCAATGGCCATTGAATTTGTTTTATTGTTTAACTTTGTTTCAATTAAGTGGATCTTCTGTGTGTAGATACTTTGATTTATTAAATGCTAGTTGAGATTGCGTTGCTATAGAGATACCAAAGGAGCGAAATTGTGGTGGGGCTTAGTTAACTTCAAGCAGTCTTATTCAATATGCGCTATGGTTACAATTGACTTAGTAATTTAGAATCCCAAAACATCAATTCCCTATGAAATTATCAGTTATTTAATAATTGCGCCGGTGGGGGAGGGGTGACCATTTTTTAAATTTTCATTGGCTAAAATTGCTCGTAATTGTTTGCACACTTCAGTATAAAGGGGAAAAGTTCCTGCTGTATAAGTTATTGAAATGTACTGCAAATAATGGGTGGATTTATCAAGGTTCTCCTTTTCACTAAGCTAGCACCTATTTGTAGCGGATTGCTACCTTAGTAAATCCTGACTGACTCAGAAATCTCTGTGGCAGATTCCCCAACATCTAACTAGACTCCCAGAACCAGCTAAGCTATTGCCCAACTATGAAAGGAAACAGACGTGTAGCATGGAGCACGTTTATTCAGTACGGGTAATGCGGATAAAGTGTAGATGCAGGAAGCTACTCATGATCAGGATGGGGGATTAGGTTAAACAGAGGTTGATGATTGGTCACTGTTTGTACGGTCGCTGCACACAGAGTTGTACGGCCGCACCTCCCAATCCTGGCGAGCAGACATGCAGGCATACGATGACGCACAGAGCGATAACGTGTCCCACACACTGTACCATTGATTATACCAGCAATAATTTTCGCCTTAGCGCCATTTCTCTCATCTGCTAGTT